CTGCCCTCACGCCATCCCCTTCTTTCTCCCGGGTCGACCAGGTGCCGAGCCCCGCTTCCGCCCCCTCGGAGGACCCCGGGGACCCCATCCGCCTCCCTGCAGAGGACTGAGCGCAGAAGCAGAGCCTTAGGCCCGGGTTATGTAACGGGAGAGAACTCCGGCCGGGAGGCCCCGGGGCCCTCAAACGCGCCTGGACTCAGCTTTGTGGTTCTTCGAGAGGGAGGGCGGGAGGGCGACGCCGGCAGTGTCCCCGGATCCCGGACCGTGGGGGAGCGCGGGGCCGTCGCCTCCTTTCTCTACTTAACCGTTTGTTACTCAGGATTAGTTCATCAGCTCTGCACTTGTAAGAGACCACGCAGAAGAGCCGAGAAACAAAGTAAAACAAAACAGCGCAGCAAAAAAATTACATCTAAACCTTAAGCCGATAGATGACTGGGACTACTTATGAGGAAAAGGATAGGAAAACTATGTGCGTATAGAGCATTTGCAGAACTTTTGCAGATGTTGCCTGCTAATGACAACGTTCTTTATCTCAGTGTCACTATTAGGAATTTGCTTGGGATTTGTATCGGTGGACTGACCGATTTTTCTTGAAGCTTTCCTCATCCTGTTCTAGTTAACTACGTTTAAGGATAATTTTTAATTTATAAGGTTTTTGTTTGGACTTTTGTTTTCTCATACTACTTTGAGTTTTTTAAAAGTAGTTTTGGACCTTTTACTTGTTTAGTGATGGTTATTCAGAAAACTTTTTCATTCAACTCCGGGATGTCCCTGAAACTTTTAAATTTAACACACTTAAATCCCTTGGCTTTTAACCCAGTTTTATACCACTTGGTGAGAGCAAGAGGCTTTTGTGAGTGTGTGTGTGTGTTTGTGTGTGTGTATTTCCATTATTGTACAAAATGTACTCATTTTAAAAATTTATAATTAAATTAGTTTTAGATGGATTTACTAATAATCTAGATTAAGTCCCAGATTGGTATGGGGATGGCATTATTTACTTTTTTACTAGGGAGGAAAGAACAGCTGTAAATGCTTAGTTTCATTAGCTTTTTATTTTCAAGTTCAAAAGTAGCTACAGGAAAGCGTGTTGACATTTATTTATGAACGCTTGGTGAAAGAGTAGTATCCAGAAAGAATTAGGAAATAAGTTGTAGGATTATTTTTGCTACAATTTGAAGGCAGCTCATTTAGAAAGTATGTGAAGAGAGAAATACAGGACCTAGGACATTCTTTTCAGGGGGTCTGTAAGGCCAGAACTGTTGCATATTAATACTAGAATGTCATTTCATTTTTTTTCCTCTCATACTTTCTTGAGTGTTCAATGAAGCTTTTTAGAAACATGACCAGTGATATCCCAACAGATTGAAGTATGGAAGCAGATGTGAAAATCCAGCTGCTTTCTCTTGAGCCAGACATGAAAGGGATTTGAAAAAATGTGAAACGGTGCCATTCTTTTCACTTAATTTTGTTTTGAAAAAGATTTTTAATAAAATGTTATTGTTAACATCTATTGGGTTTGTCATTTTAGAAATGAATAAATATTTAAAACATCAGTTTCATTGTTTAATACTGTAAATGCAGAATCAGTAGGTATAGTCAATCTTATAAAAGCTTTGTCAGGTTCTAAGTGATTTTTTTTTTTGGTACCAGGGATCAAACTCAGGACCTTTGCTTGTGAGGCAGGCGCAGTGCCACTGAGCTAAATCTTTACTTCACCCCTCTAAGTGATACTTATGAATGTTATAGTTTATTAACCAAAAGGTTTGAGAACTGTTGCTAGGCTAATTGAGCAGCACCAGTATTAAATTATTAGGGCCCAGAACAAGTTTAGTGTTGGGTGCTGAAGATTTAAAGAGATCAGAAGCTGAATCCTTACCTTTAAAAGGTTTAAAAGTGAGAGCAAGAATCCCAGATTACTGTGTAATATCAGCAACATGAGACTGAATCACTGTCCCCAGAAGATAAACTTTGGTGATGTATTTTCTGAGGCTACTCTCACGTTTATTGTCTGTTGCTAAGATAAGGAGATTGAGTAATTTCATGTTATAATAGGTAGACCTTACATTCACATAGGTTTTAAATTGCTGTGTTCACCATGACTTATATTTGGGGCTTGAAACACTTTACAGTTTTAACAGTCTCAGCATTGTGTAGTGGGCTTGTGGACCATTATCATCTAAAACAGTTAACCTTAAAGCCTGTAAGAGTCTGAGGGTTGATAATCTACTGAACTTGTATGGAGTATTTTCTGAGAATTTGTGACAGTTTTTTGGAGGGGAGTTATATCTTTGGGTTACCTGATCCCTCAGAAAAGATAAGGATCATCCTTTAGCTAATAACAAATCTGATTAGGTGTTCTCCTTTAGCCTAATTTCACCTTGTAGCAAAACAAAGTACTTATATAGAATCTGAAGCATCATATCAAAAATTTAAGTGTAATCTGTACAAATGTTTTTCTTCCTCTACTTTGGAGTTTGTAGTGTTTCTTTTAAATACCAAATTATCAAAGTCTGGACCTCAGCTCTTTGATTCAGGTCTGTTAATTGTAGGAATTGGGTAACTGATTTGCTTCACTCTTAATTGCATCTGTGCTTACAAGGTTCACTCAGCCCACCCCCACTTCAGAAAGACTGAATGATTTCTTTTTGTCAGAGTTTTGAAAGCATTATATAATTGTAGTTATCTATGGCAACCTAACAAATTACATCAAAATTTAATCGTTTAAACCAACCATCTTTTGTTTTGCTCATAAATTTACAGTTTGGGCAGGGCTGTCTGGGCTGGACTCATTTCTGCCCCTTGCTGTGAAGGGCCTCAGTTTAGTTTACTCAGATGACTGGGTCTTGAACACTAGGGGTGTGGTGGGGGGTGGGAGCCAGGACTGGGCTCTGCATAAAGTCTCAGTCTGAGTGGCCTCTGTGTGGAGACCCCAGGAGATTCAGATTTATGGCAGTTTAGGGTTTACAGAGTGTGTTCCAAGTGGACCTGGGTTCTTGATTTAATGAGGCTTTTAGGATCCAGCCTTGAATGTCTTTTTGTATTCTGTTGGTCGGTGGTCAGTCAGATCCTTAAGGCCAGCCCAGATCCAAACAGACAGCATTGAGACTCCATTTTTCAGTTGTAGGACTGTCAGTATTTACAGGTTTCTTTAATTTGCTACATAAATTGTTTCTTGTGTCACCATTGGTCCCTGCACCTCCTACCTCAGATCAAACTTAGGACTTTATGCTTGCGAGGCGGCAGGTGCCCTGCCAATGAGCTAAATCCCCAGCCTTTGTATTGTTCTTTACAGCTCCCTATGGTTGATGTTTACTGATCTTAGTAAGAGTAAGCTAATCTTAGCAAGAGAGTATGATGAACTGATTGTGCATTAAAATTTGTAACTATGTATCCTATTTATATGACAGAATAAGCATGTTAAGCTGTAGCTAATACTTGAGCTGTAGTGATGTGTATCTTAGGCATTCCATGCCCTAGAAGAACAGTGATGTAAAGACATAAGGTTCTGCTAGTGGATTTTACAAGCAGATTATAATGAAACACTATAGAAAGTGTTGCTTAAAAAAAGCGAGACCTTGGTCTCAAAAAATTAAGTGCTGTGGATGTAGCTAAGTGAGAAGACCTTGGGTTCAATCCTTGGTGTGTGTGGGGGGGTAGGGATGGGGAGAGTATTACTTTGAAAGCAATATGATTATGGTTGTTGTGGTTAGAATACTCATTAGTTCACATTTCGAAACTCTAAAGTATTTTTCAAATATATTGTGATACTTTTTAGCCCCTCCCCATAGCAGCTAGGATGTCGGTATTATAAATATGTATTATTATAATTATTTACATTTTAAGTGTTTTTCTTCAATGGACTGTTGGATTTCCCTTCCAGGTATCAGGGATCAAACTCAGGAGCCTGCACTTGTGAATCAGACTCAGTTTCATTGCCCCTAAATCCCTGGTCCTAGACTGTTGGATTTTGACAGCCAGGAATAAGGTTGCATTCATCTTTTTTTTTTCCTTTTTCCTATGATGACCAACCTGTTGACAGGATACCTATTTAAAGGTTTTTTTTCCCCAAAGGAATAATTAATCAGATATAGTCATTCAACTAATATTAAGTGTTGCTGTGTTCTCAGCACCATTTTAGAGCCTAGAAGTGGAAGGTTGCCTCAAAAACATGAACTGGCAAGTATTTTTCTCCTTATTCTGACCCCTTAGTGATGTTTTGTTTTTGAGGCAAGGTTGGTTGCCATAGAAGTTTGTCTTTCATGGTATTTTTTCATACACTCTTCTCTTAATATAGACCTGGTAACTTTATATCCAAGATTGAATTATTACTTATAGGACATTGAGGTGGTTGTGGATAATTTTTCTTGACATCTTTAGCATATCTGTTTTGGAATTTTCTGAAATTGTGATTTATTTATTTATTTTTGTGGTGATGGGTGCTCTACTGAGCTACATCCTCAGCCCTTTTTATTTTTCATTTTGCCACGTTGTTCACTGGAGACTTGAAGTTTCCATTCTCCTATCTCAGCCTCCCAAGTGCTGAGATTATAGTTGTGCACCTCTGTGCCTGGCTAATGATGTTTTTTTAAAGTGGGAAATTATTATTATTATTGTTATTATTTTTAATTATTTTGAGACAGTCTTTTCTAGTTCTCTTTCCAGACCCAGCCATCTCTTTCCAACCCATTCCATCTTGGAAAGTTGAATTGGTAGTGCGCCTACTAAATTTTTTTACCACTTTGGTAGAAGGTTCAATCTCTGGATTACCCAGATC